TATATCAGTTGGATTTCCTGCTGTAGTAATTGTTGACGAACCTATTGATGTTGTTGCTGTCGAATTTCCTACCTTAGTGCTTGATGACGGATTCGCCGACGCCGTTGTTGTTGCTGTTGTTGTGGTTGATGGGGGTGTCGGTGTCGTAGGAAGATAATCGACAGGGACTGCAAACGTTTTTTGTTTACGGCTTCTCTCAAACACTTCCATACTTTAAGACTACAGAATATTGTAATAAACAAAAAAACAAAAACATTTTTTGAATTAATAAAGTTATGCAACTGAAATCAAAGCATCAGCTGCAAAAATAGTTAGTAATTTTCAAGTACTACAACACCAGAAAGCTTTTTCTAAACGATGCACCTTTAATTCTAAAATCGCTATTCTTTCTTATGATTTGTAAAGAGGATGTCAGCCTCACGTTGACAAAAAAGATTTTGTCTTGTACAAGATTCTAAAGCTACCTGAAATACGAGGTGTATATCCAACAGCGAGACCATCTCCACAAGTGCACACAGAAAGAGTATATTGTCCTTTAGCAGAAAACCAGAAAAAACCATCAAAGTTAGAATAAAAAATATTGTAGCGGTAAAACCGTTTCTCACCACCAACAAACTCGTCATAATCGTCTCGGGATACTGGCGTTCCATTATCAACAGAGGTGTTTCGAGTCAGCTCATCACCAATAACCTTGAAATAAGTGTCTTAGTATGCCTTGAATACAAAAGATACAAAGATCTGACACATAGCGCTAGTCATTTAAAAAATATTGAACCTATTGTACCGTGACTGTTGAAAACGATGAATGCAGAACGTATCCAGTTGTTCCAGTAACAAACTCTATATCAGATGCAACATTATCCAGAAAAGCGCCCTCTCCTACCTCATAGTCGCAGTCTCCGTAACGCAACACGTGCGAAATAGACACCTCAGACCTTGAAAAAAGATTGTCAGAATTCTTAAAAATTTAAACTGAACTGATTGTGTTTGTAAAAAATGTTTTATTATAATTAGAAGAAAAATTAGACTTTGGCCTTTCTCATCAAACTTGTGTATGCCGCTTTGAATTCTTTATTTATTTAGTTTTATAAAAT